CGGGAGCAGGCGGAGCTCGGGGCCCCGGGGCGCGGGTGGGGGAAGGGGAGCGCTGTAACCGGATCCGGGGGATTCTGGGTGACTGCGGGTCGGGCCTTCCCCGCGCTTTCCCGGGTCGGAGCGAGGCGAGCCCTGCGGCGTGGACGGAAGGGGAGAGGAGCTGCCCCCTCTGGCTGGACGTGGGGACCGGGGGGACATCCTGGGGTGGAGGGGAGACACTCGGACCTGAGAGCGACCATCGTTGCCCTGGATCGCGGCCTCCTTCCCAGGACCCCCGCCCCCTGCCCAGGCCGCTTTATGGGCATCTCGAGCTTTCTCCCTGGGTTCGGGCAAACCGATCGGTGTTTTCCCGGACCTGGGTATTTTTAGCTGGGAAAGGAGTCTAGGAGGTGCTTACTTCCAAAATCCTGTGCACAAGTTCCGCACCAGACCGCCTGTCCTAAGACAATGCCTCTGTGACTCGGGGTGTGCTGGGACGCTTCATTATGATGTCCCTCCGAGGTAACTGGATTTGGACTTTGGAAAAAGAAGTCACTTGCAAACAGGGGCTTTCTCCAGATTCATCCATTGTTAGAGCTCCTTATTAAATAAGTAGGGTTATCCCGAGGGGTAGCCTGTTCTGGCAGATGATGTTTTCTTAAAAAAATGATCTCTTAGGTGCTGGAGACCTGCAGAGTTAGACACTTCAGTGCTGTTCTCATTTATCTACCTGTTCCAAATGCTTTCGTAATGGGCTTAAAAGTCTACAAGTGTTAATATCATTTTTCACACGAAAATAATCAAGAATACCTGGTTTTCCCTGCTAGATTGAACAAAAAGCAAAACTGAAAATTACACTTATTTTTCACGATTCCCATACCATTAGTGAATATATCATTGCTGTTTATTTCTCTATTGTGATTGGTACTTTGATAATGTCAGTAATGGTTTGTGGAATTCAGCATTTTAGGCATGTGATGAGTAATTGGCATGAGTCTAAAGCACTTCAGCTTTATTTGCGCCACTGAGTATGGTGATCATGTAATTAGAAGTACACGCAGAGAAAATAATTACTGAAAATTCAGAAATGACAGATACTAGCCGTCTTATTGAATATGGTGGTGTATAAGTAGTGATGTGTTTCACAGAGCATGTGTATGAACTCTGACCTCTGTATTTGCTCATTTGCCAAAACTGAGTGGAAGGATGACTTGGTATTTTCATGGTATAATGCAGAAATCGTCATAAATATCTGTATTGATATTCAGTAAAATAGCAGTTCTAACTTTTTGTTTAATGAGAAAAATGTATTCCAGGTTAGTCGAAGTATCCCTAATGAAAGATTGCAGCTCATGTTATCAGCAGCCTGAAACATTTCTTCTATAATATGGTTTACAAGCCTGAAAATTAGTAGATGCTTTATTTTCTATTACTTGAAAGTGGTAAGTTACTGCTCTGGTAATTCATACAGTTTCTTTGCTTTTGTAGGAGGTGATTTTTCACGACAGTATTCTTAGTATTTAAGTTGAAGGGTACCAGAAATACTTACCTTGCTCTTGTACTGCATATTGTTAAAATAATATGCCCTTTATCCATAAGGGATGATGAAGCCTTGCTTTGAGTGTGTGTCATAGTGTTTCAGGAGAAGAAAACAGGAAATGTAGACAGTTATTTTTTTCTGAACAGTACCTTTGTAAATCTGGAAGGAAACTTCTTCCAGAAAAGTAAGTTGCAAAAAAGCATTTAGGAGATCATTTAACCTTGGAGTGAACATAACCAGTAAAGAGCTTTATTTTCACCAGTATTTTTTCCATTTATATTTTAGTATACCCAGTTGTATTAATGGATCATGATTATCACCAGTTCTTTGAAGGACTGGTGTTTGCTTTTAAGGATGTAAATGTAGTATTTTGGATGACTAATCAAGTCATCAAGTATTTCATCATGTCACCTAATGTGAATCTCCAGTTTAACAAAGCTTATTTCATCTGTTCATGTTTGTTCTAAAATATTGGTTGATTTAAGGACGTTATTGTTTTTTTATGGAGAGGTTTTCGTTATAGGGCGCATGTATTTGCCGGAAAGACAGACAGAAAGTGAGAAATCACCCCCTGGGGGGGGAACCATGCCGCAGTGCCTTCTCCATTCTCCTCTCAGGATCTTGGGCACACATGCACATGTGCCCAGTGTGAGTGTAAGCCGACAAGTCCAGGACTCAAACCATGGTTGACTACGTGGGAGTCCAGTGCAGTAACCGTTATGCCATCTGCTGGTCCCAAGGACTTGTTTTGTTTTGTTTTAAGTGCCTTTGTAAAGATAGCTGATCTTTGCTCAAGTCTGATCATAAGAAGTTACAAGTGGCCATTTTTAAAAGTGTATTTTTTAAAAGATAGTCTTCAAGAGAAATGTGAAAAGCAAAGAGCAGAATAGCATGGAGGTGGTCACTGTGTTAAAAGGAGGGAAAATAAATATATTTTGCCTGCACATGTGAAAAAAAAAACACAAGAAGTTGGTGAAATTGGTTGCTGCTTTGTAGGGGAATCAGGTGCCTAGCACAGGGTATATGTCTCTTGAATTTTGAGTCATATGAATGTTATTTACTCAAATAAAATAAGTGAGGCACCAGCTAGGCCTCTTTTCCTTAAGACCGTTTGGAAATATGTTGTTTATCTGTCAGATATATTAATGTGAATTATGAGTATGAATTTTAAGTTCTGCTTCAAAGTTGCTGGAAATGGACACTTGCTTTAAAGTACATTTTATGGTCATGAGTTGAATTAACATAGGTGACTTGTTGATTGTGAGGATACAAAGCCATATTCTGTTTTATTCATAGGTTGTATTATTACTACCAATTATTGCTTCTAGCAACTAACTGCTATTTGTAGTATGGCTCTCAGTACCATTCGTTTATACTTTATAGATCTTTTTTTTTTTTTGAGAGGTTTTTGCTATAGGGAGCGTGCGCTCGCCAGACAGAGACAGAGAGATAGAAAGCGAGAAATCACCCCCCAGAGGGATGACCACGCCGCAATCCCTTCTCCTCCATTCTCCTCTCGGGATCTTGGGCACACATGCACACACACCTGGCGTGAGTTTGTGGGATGTGAACCGCGGTCGACTACGTGGGAGTCCAGCGACATAGCCATTTTGCTAACTGCTGATCCCCTTTATAGATAGTTCTTAAGAACAGGTCTTTGAGTTATATTTTGTTTCTGAGATGAGAGAATTAGAATCAGAGGAGTTAAATTATTGGCCTGTAAACATATAGCTTTGAGATTTGGACCTAAGGGTGCTTGTCTTTATGCTGTACTGTAATAACTAACCAAGGATAAGCATGCTTTAATTATTTAAACATAATTGAGCCTGGTTCACATTACTTGTTAAAGGATTTAAACACAACATACTTTATTATTTTAAACTCATAATTAGCTTAAAGATTTACTTGCATTTCAGCTTGCAAAATTTTTTAACATTATTTTTTAGAGAGAGATTTTTGCAGTAGGGCGTGGGCTCGCTGGAGAGAGAGAGCGAGACAGAGAGACAGAAAGCAAGAAATCAAGAAATCATCCCCTGGGGGGGATGGCCTTGGTGCAGTCCCTTCTCCTCCATTCTCCTTTTGGGATTTTTGGGCATGCATATGCCCGCGAGAGTTTCTATTCCCCAGGTCCAGGACTCAAACCAAGATCGACTATGTGGGAGTCCAGCAGCATGACCATTAAGCCATGTGCTGGTCCCCAACATGCAAAATTTTAAAAATTTGAAGCTCAGTGAAGGAAAATGTCCTTAAATGAGTGCACATACTTGTTCTTATGCTGTGAGATACCTGTAGTTTCTCCATGTGGTAGCTGCCCTTTGGTAGCATTTTCTAGTATTCTTTTAGTGACTGTTTAAATTTATAGCATAAACAAATTTATTTCAGAAAATTACTATTGTATGTCAAGTTTTCCTTCAGTCTTTAAATAGGTTTTTGTATCTATTGTCATTTTAAATTTTCTAAGTTTAATGTATTTGGTATTGCTTGATCTACATTATGCTGTGTAGTAGTCTCTGGGAGAATGCCTTTGATTTCTGTAGACCATGGCTTCCTAACCTTGGCACTTGTGACATATTGGGCAGATAATTAATTCTTCATTGTGATTGGCTCTCCTGTGCATTGTAGGATGTTAGTATTTCTGATCTCTACTATTAGATGTTAACCATTCTCCTGCTTTCCCATACTCTTTCCTTGCCAGTTGTATCAACTAAAAATGCCTTGACTACCAAATATTGACAACCACTGCTGTAAAGAAAAGAAAACTCTTTAAACTATTTGAGATTATTAACCATAAGAATGTTTAAGACTTAACTGTGAGGGCCAGCAGGTGGGATGGTGGTTGGGGTACTGGACTCCTACATGGCCGACTGTGGTTTGAGTACCAGATCCAATGGGTTACTTTCTCGCTTCTTTGTCTCTGTCTCTTTTTGATCAAATTAAAAATAACAAATAAAATAGAAAATAGTATAATTATGTAAAGAACGAATATAGAGTAAAGGTACTAAAAATACATATTGGCTTTGAGGGGGAAAAATATGTATCTATTAACAGCTGAACAATGCATGCGCTTGCCAGAGAATGAGAGTGAGGGAAAAGCATCCCCCCACCATGGGGAATGTTCAAGCCACAATCCCTTCTCTTTGTTCCGGCTTTTCGGCATTTTGGGCATGTACACATGTGTACCTGGTGGATCTGAAACTTGAACTATGCAGTTGGTCATGTAGGATCCAGCCACCTAACCACTATGCTACCAGCTGGCCCTGATTATGGATTTTTCTAGTGATTGGGGATGTGGAACTAGTATATGTACCCTTTTCTTTCAGGTGTCTGGGTACTTGTTTCAAGGTAGCTGTCCTAATTGGGTGTCATAATTGTAGGTTATCAGATACTATTGCTGTCCAGTAGCTGATAAAACATTTTGTGCTTTTTCTTTCAGTTTTTCCTTTTTATTCGACAGTGTCTCACTGTGTTGCAGTCCTCTTCCTTCAGCTCACCAAGATAGCTGGGATCATAGGTGTGCACTGCAATGCCTGGTTCTTTTAGACAGGGTCTGTCTCTGTTACCCAGACTCCATGAGTTCATGACCCTTCTGTCTCAGTGCCTGAGTAGCTGGGATTACAGGCTTGTGCCCCTGCTAGATTTTTAGGGGGCTCAAAGTGGAACCTCGGCCTCCTCTTTGGCCTGAGCTTGCTGGGTAGCAACATCAACCAGTGCATACTGTAGCAGCTGGTCCTTTGTGTCCTTTTTATTAAATTATTCTGTGTTAACTTCATTTTTGTTGTGTAGAATATGTTTTGGCCTAGTGAGCATTTTATTTCCATTTTCTTGCTGATGTACACGGGCAAGAATTTTCAGTCTGTCTGACAATGATGTATATGCGTATACACACATAGGCCGTGATCATAGGTTTCGATGAAATTTCAGTGATAATGTATGGCAGATGGTTTTTAATGCCAGAGGGTGCATAAGTGTGCCAGAGAGAGAGTGCATCCCCTATGGGACCTGGTCATGCTGTAATCCCCTTTCCTACAATTCTCCATCCTGTTAGGATTCTGGACATATACGAGTGTGTTCCTACAATTCTCCATCCTGTTAGGATTCTGGACATATACGAGTGTGTCCCCGACTTGTTTTTCAAGCCAATGGGCCAGGACTCAAACCTTGATGGGCCACATGGGGATCTGGCCTTCTCTGACTGTGCCTAAGTGTTGTGCTCCGGGGCCAGACCTCAGACGTTTTCCACACCTGTGCAGTTGGTCATACTTTGCCTATGTCTGTTCGTGTTTATCTTGTTGGGTGCTTTATCTCCTTATGCCCATAGGAACTGTGAACGTGAGTCATTGAGGGCAGAGACCTATCTTACTGATTTCCATTCCCCATTGCCTAGCACATTGCCTGGTAAGCAGGAGGCACCTGTTTTCCTGAAGGAGTTTAAGGATTTTCTTAAGCTCTGGGGAGCTCTTCTCTAACAACCATGAAAATAATACTTTTATACTGCTTCTGAGACTAGGAAGAGTTGAATATGTTGAGAAAGGTGGCCTATAAATGAAGTTGGATTTCTGTTCCATATTAATGTTGATAACGTAGTTAGGTCTTGAATCGGGATGATATCAGTAGAATGTCCAAGCCACAATCTAGGAAAAAAGAGCATAGAGAATGGAATCTTTTTTGCTTTATTTTATAGTTTGCCCTCTGGAGGATCTCAAAGGATATCTACTCAGTATATATGACATCAGGTATATTCCCGTGGTTTAATTCTTTAACTTAACTCTCTCTATTTTTAATTTACTTGCTAGATATTTAAAAAACATCTGTGTTGATAAAATAGACATGAGCCTGGCCCTGGTTGCATACATTAGGCACTACTGCTTAGCAGGTCAAGGCCATATGGGAGACCTGGGTTTGATTCTTGTCACACCATAAAAATCTGGGTATGGTAATGCATGCCTGTGGTCTACTACTCACAGGAGGCTGAGGCAGGAGAATCCTAATATGAGAGGCTTTATCATTAAAGAAAAAAAAGACACATACAAACGTGATCCGCTGTTGTGGAGTCAGTTGTGGTCAGGTAAGGCAGTGAGCCTTGAACAGCTAATTACAAGTGCGTTTGTTGAGATTAAGTAAAGAGAGCTATGGGGGTGGTCTAACCTAACCTCAGGAAAAGAATTCCTTGGGAACAGCCCTCAAACTGATACTTGGAGGATAAATGAGAATTAACTTAATAATATATCAGGATGATTAACTCTTATGTGCATATAGACATGATTAATGATCATTGTACAATGAATGGAGACCCATTTAATTGCTTTTCCCTTTTAAGTGTATAGCTAATTTCTCTCAATATAGAACTAACAAATGTTTGGTTATTATGGAATTTTGGGAAATACAGGGAATTATAGTACAGTGAACAACTTTAATTCTACTCCAAGAGACAATTCTTTTCCTTAAAAAGTTTCGTCTCTAGGGGCCACTGGTGGCATGGTGGTTAAAGACCTGCATTTCCATATGGCTGACCACGGTTTGAGTCCCAGACCTGGCAGCTTGCTTTCTCACTTTCCCTTTCATTCTCTCTGCCTCTCTCTGGTCAAATTAAATAATAGCAACAAGCGGAAATAAATAAAACTTTTTAGAAAAATAATTATTTAATTTTATTTATTCATTTATTTTATTTTAATTTGACCAGAGAGAGAGAGAAAGTGAGAAAGCAAGCTACCAGGTCTGGGACTCAAACTGTGGTTGGCCATGTAGGATCCCCCCTGCGGGTCCCCAAATAATTTTTTTTTTTTTTTTTTTGAGAGGTTTTTGCTATAGGGCGTGGGCGCTTGCCAGACAGAGAGAGACAGACAAAAAGCGAGAAATCACCTCCCAGGGGGGATGGCCATGCTGCAATCCCTTCTCCTCAGGATCTTAGGCATGCACACACATGCGCCCGGTTTTAAGTGTGAGTTTTAAGCCACTGGGTCCGGGACTTGAGCTGCGGTTGACTACATGGGAGTCCAGCGACATATCTATTATGCTAACTGCTGGTCCCAATAAAACATTTTTTTTAAAAAATTGTCTATGAAATGTATTAGAAGTACAGAGATATATCTTAAATGTGGTATTTTCTTCTGTTTTTTTTCTTATGCTGTGCAGACATATTTAGAACTCATTAATAATTACCAGTTTAACTGTTATTTTTAAATTTATTATAGGGCATCTGCACTCACCAGAGAGAGAAAAAGTGAGAAAGCAAGTTGCCAGGCCTGCAACTCGAACCGTAGTTGGCCATGTGGGAGTCTAGCATCCCAACCAGTATGTCACCTACTGGCCCTAGAGGTCTTTTTAAAGAGCTTTGAGTGTCACTCTCATATGACACTTTAAACCACAGTCTATAATTTTTTTTAATAATTATTTTATTTAACTTGATTTATTCATTTGTTTATTTCAATTTGACAGAGGTGTAGGGAGAGAGAGAGTGTGTAAGCTGTGAGGTCTGGGACTTGAACCGTGGTCGTCCATGTGGAAATCTAGAGGCTTTGACCGCCATGCCACTTGCCTGTGTCAATTTTTAATGTGTTTTAGTCATATGATTCTGTCTTCTCCTACTGGATTCCAAGGTTCTCAGTGATTGTGTCATAGTTTGTTCCACTTTGTGTAATCAGTGACAAGAGCTTGTTCATATTTTTTTAAGACAGAGTCTTGCTATATTGCAATCCACTTGTCTCAGTGTCCTGAACAGCTCTGACTGTAAGCATGCATCACTGTTCCTGGATTTTCCTTAATTTATTTAACAAATTTTTTTGGAGAGGTTTTTGCTCTAGAGCACGTATGCTCGCCAGAAAGACAGAGAGAAAGAAAGCGAAAAATCACCTCCCCCAAGGGGGGGGCCAGTCTGTAGTCCCTTCTTCCCCATTCTCTAAAGATCTCGGGCCCGCACGCGCATGCGCCTGGTATGAGTTTAAGCCACTGGGTCCAGGACTTGAACTGTGGTCGACTACATGGGAGTCTAGTGACAGCCATTACGCCAACTGCTGGTCCCCAGTTTGTGTTCTTAATACAGCACTTCAGGTCCTCTCAACACGTGGAGAATGTGTTGAGACTGAAGATGTGAGGAAAAAGGATATGAGGATTGATTAGGGATAGAATTTGGCTGGATGTAACAAAGTAGTGGTAAATTAAAGGACAACTGGGAGAAGATATTTCAGGGTTATTTAGTTGGGGACCTTACCATACTAGTAGACTACCTCTAATTTTCAATTTATCATAGTTTAGGCATGTGACTTATCCTCACATTCTCAAAATGGCTGCCAGAATTCCAGACATGTCTGAATTTTAGAAGGGGAAGGGCATAAGGCATATAACAACTGAGTTCACCACTTAAAGAACTTTCTTAAAAGCCCCCTTCAGTGACTTCTGCTTTTACTTTTTTATTCAGATTTGTGTCATAACCACTTGGGTTAAAAGAGGCTATGAATTGTTTTATAGCCGAAGACATTGCTCCCCAAATAAAATCAGGATTTCATTAGTAAGGAAGGAAGGAGCAGCAAGGGAATTGGTGTTAGGCAGCTTGCTCTATAGGGAATGAGGGAGGCAAGAATTAACTCAGGAATATCATTTGCAAAACTTTTCTGAGTAGTCTAGGCAAGAAATAACTGTAGCTTAGGTCCACATTTGAATGGGGAGCTAAAGAGAAGTATTTGGGATATGTTTTAAAGATAAGAGTCAAAGATAAGAACTTGCCAGTGGGTAAGAAAAACATCCTAGATTTTTATCTTTAGCAATTAGCTAGATGGTGCTAATTTCTGAGCTGGGAAAAAATGTGGCAGAGCAAATTGAAGATGTGAGAGAAAATCAAGAATTTTGCAGGAGGAGGGCTTGGTGGAGCGGGTGTGTGTATAAGAGAAGGCATCCTTTGTGGGGATGGCCATGCAGCAGTTCCTTCTCATCCTTTCTCCCTCGGGATTTTGAGAGTTTGGGCATGCATACACATGCACCCTGTTCATTTTCCAAGCCACAAGGCTGGGGGCAGGAGTTGAATTGCACAGTTAGCTTTGCGGGATCCAGCTGCCTTCACCACCACACCACTGACTGACCTAGTCCTTGTTAGGTTTTATGGTGGAGAAATAACAGGCAGTTGCCTATATGAGTTAGATCTAGGCATCATAGATATATGAGGAGGTCTTCAGAAAATTCATGGAACTAAAAAAAATGGATTTTAGGGGCCAGCAGTTGGCGTGGTGGTTGAGGTGCTGGATTCCCACATGGTACAAGTTCTGGACCCGGTGACTTGAAAACTACAACAAATAGGGAGATAAATAAATAAATGTTTTTTAAAAGCAGATTTAAAAAATTAATTATTTTATTTAACCTTATTTATTTATTTTAATTTGATCAGAGAGGGACAGAGTGAAAAGGTGGAGTGAGAAAGCAAGTTGCCAGGTCCAATCACTATGCCACCTGCTGGCCCCTAAAAAATGGATTTTAAGAGGCCAGCAGGTGATGGTGACGGTTAAGGGTGTTGGACTTCCACATGGCCAACCATGGTTTGAGTTCTGGACCTGGCAGCTTGCATTCTCACTTTCTTTCTCTCACTCTGTCCCTCTGTAGTCAAATTTAAAAAATAAATAAAGTTAAAGAATTCTTTTTTAAAAATGGGTTTTAAAATATTTTGCACCAGAACAAGCTCATGTTTAAACTTTATTTTTCCACAAACTTTTAAAAGTCTCCTTGTGCTTAAAGTCTGTACTAGGTGACTTTAGGAGAACTGGCCTAGGTGTTCTTGGGCAAAGTCCTGGTTTTTGTTCTGATTTCCTTACACATTTTGAAATTTAACATAGGAGAATCCATAGATGGTAGGAAAGTAAGCTACTTGCGATTTATTAGAAAAACCAGAAAAATGTGTTGTCATTGAAGCCAAGAGAGGACAGTTTCAGAAAGTAAGTGATCTGGTCTCATAGCCTGTGATCAAGAGAACCAGTCCTGAATGGCTGAGGTTTGATTCCTGGCCTTGGTAGCTTGAAAAACATGCCAGGTGCTTGTGCATGCTTTCCCAAAGATGGAGAAATGGAGGAGAAGGGATTGTGACATGACTTCATCCTTTTGGGGGTTACTTTCTCCCTTTTCTCTGTCTCTTTGTCTCACTGGTGAGTATATGTACTGCTGGCAATTAAATAAAAGAAATAGTAGTCAACTTTGTCCTAACTGCTGGATGGGAAGAATGGCCATTGTACTTGCAACATATCGAACATGGATGACCTCGAGAGTTTTTTTGTTTTGTTTTTAAGTTTGCTAGAGGGTGGATGTACTCACTGCTGAGAGACAGGGGGAGAGAGAGAGAGAGAGAAATAAATTACCCCCTGGGAGATGGCCATGCTGCAGTCAGGTGCACATGTACATATGTCAGGCTTGTTTTTCAAGCCTCCAGGTCTGGGACTCAAGCTGAGAAGTCAACCATGTGGGATCTAGCGCCTTAACTGTCACACCACCTGCTGACCCAGTGAGGCTCAATTCTGATCGGAGTTGCTGAGAGAATGTGAGGTGAGCAAGTGACAACTGGTCAACCCTTACCATAGAAAGGAGTTTCGCTGACACGGAGTAGAAAAGGGAGGCTGTAGCTGGAGAAGAATATGATAATTCTGGTATATAATAAGAGTATATTTGTGTATTGATGGGCAGGAGAAATTCATTGTGCTAGAGTAATTGCAGTCTTTTAAATACTCTTTGCTAGTTTGCTAGAAAAGGTACAGAATCCTTGAAAAGAACAGAAGGAATAGTATTCACAGCACAAGTTAGAGGGATTAATCTTTAATAGGAACAGAGTCACGGAGGGTAATGGTAAGTGTCCATTTGGGATTTGTGGTCTTCACTTTAACATGAGACCAATTAATGGTAGTTGTGTGTTTTTCTCCAGCTATGCTACTTGAGGCAGACACAAAGATTTTTTAGTTAATTGGGAAGTGACGTTAACAAGCATTGGGGCTTTGCCATGTCACTATCATGAAGGAAGAAAGCATCAGGTTGTTAAGAGTATTTTTGCAAGTGAGTAATTATAATGAATGTCCAAGGAATCTATATAGGATAAGTAGG